AGAATGACATACAAGTGGATGTTCCTCTTCCTGTTCCTGTTCCCCTTATCCTTGATGATCTTCCAACAGATAAAACACAAAAGGAAAGGGAAACCCCTAAAAAGAAGCAGCAGGCCCAGTCCAATCAGACTTCATTTTCAAAAAAGAGAAGAGGGAAACAAGTGGATAAACAATCTCAGAAGAAACTTAAACTCGAGGATAATAAATATTCTCGTGGTCAAGGTCAGGATTTAGACGATAAGCCAGTTCCTGAACCACCCAAGAAACTTGACATTAAGCGTCCTTCCCCGGGTCCCACTCCCACTCCCATTGTTGAAGATGAAGCAAGTCAATCGTTTGAGCACCGACATTTGGAGAGGAGGTATAACCCAGCGCCACCGCCACCAACCTCTGAGGTGATGGATTATAATAGCTCTGCCTCTCGCTCTCGGAATGATATACTAGGTCAATCGGTCAACCAACATCGGTACAATACCCCCACCCCTACCACCACTGAAGAAGCACCACCTTACATGGGCGGTAGTGGTACAACATATAGGCGACCCGATTCTGCTAATAATAATAATAATAATCTCCCAACTCCTAGCAGCGGTTATTCGATGAGACCCGCTGAGCCTTCTGTTCAGTATCATCATAATGCGGGTCCGGGTCCGGGTCCAGGGGGGTATGATAGTAGGGGGGGATCTTATGTTGATGAGATGGGGGCCGGGGGTTCAAGGAGATACGGTGGTCATGATATGGCATCATATAATAACAACAGCAACAGGGCCGGCACATCTACAATGCAACGGTATGCACCCAGGCTGGACGAGCTCAACCATACAAGGATGGACGACATGAATCACTCCAGAATGGGAATGGGAATGGGAAACTCCAGACGACCTGAACCACCACCTATGCCTATGCCTATGGGTATGGGTATGGGTATGGGTATAGGGAATAATAATAATCATAATAATAGGGGCTTTGGGGGTTATGGTCCACCCATGCATGGACCTGGCTTCGGTACGGAGCCCATGGGGTTTGCCCCTGGTCCATACAACCCCTATTCACACCATAATTCCTCGGGTGGTTGGCTCAACGAGTAGTCTACCCCTTCACTTTTGCATTTGCATCACCTCTTTGTTTGTTGGCTCACATATTCAACTCTACTTCTGTATTTTTTTGATAATGTTTTTGAATATGACACAACAGGTATGTATGTATGGTGAACGACAGCTTATTGTTTAGTTTTTCATTAGTATTATCAAAAAAATCCTTCAAAATTACATGTATATCATATATGATATTAAGATTCAAAAAAAGTTATAAATATAGTTATATATATATATATATATATATATATATATATATATATATATATATATATATATATATATATATATATATATATATATATATATATATATATATATATATATATATATATATATATTGGAAATAATGAGATTTGAATTCCACTATTAGAATTTTAGAAATCAAGTAAACTACAACATCGTCCAAAGAAAATAATTTTAAAAACAATGCTAAAATAAATTTCTAACATGGATCCTAGCATTTACAGAGTGGCGATGCTGTTAAAATTAAATAGCATCTATAAACTTATATATTAATATGAGGGTAGAAGGAGTTACTAGTAGTAATCGGTCTCATGACAAAGGAAATGGTGTTCCGGTTCAAGTTCATCTTATGACCGGCCAAGTTGTCAACCTTTCGGTTTTCCATTTTTTCTTCTTTTCCTTTCTCAAAATCTTTAAGAGGCTCAATCTTATCCTTTTCTCTCTACCTGTTCAAACCCGATCAACCCTCTCTTCATTCCTCCCGCTCCTCATTCCCTATCCTTTCACTTCATTCCCTCCCCCTCTTTTCCTTTCATTTCATTTCCCTCCCTTTATTCTCATTCATTTCAAAAGTAGGCGGAAATATTTCATGAAAAAAATAGGGTGTTTTTGTTATGGAAAGTTGTTTTCATTTTTCTAGAAAACGTTTTCAAAAATCAGGGTTGAGTTTTTATGTTAGTTTTAATAAAAAATTTAGAAAATGCATTTGGTTGAAACCAGATGGAGTTTTCATTTTATAAATTTATAATACTTTGAAAATTATAAAAATCACTTTTCTAATTTACATACAATTTGATAAAAAAAAAACTACCATTTTCTTGGAAAAAATATAAAAACTGAATCAACAGAACATGTTTTCAAAAAATTTATTTTCATGGAACACTAGAAAATTTTACATAACCAAACGTTAAGCTTTTTCTTTCCAATCCTTCCATTTTCTTCTCATTTTCCTCTTTAGATGAAACTTGATTATAGCATTTCCTTCTCTTATCTTCCTTTAAGAAAAACTCAAGAACATCTCTTTCTTCACTTTCCCTCTTTATATTAAGCTCAAGAATGTCCATTTTCTCTTGATTCCTCTTATTTCCTTCTATTTATTTCCTTCAAAAACACTCAAAAACAGGAAGTAAAAGATGAGAAGGTAATAAAAATATATACCTCGGGGAATCGAAGTCACCTTCAAAAGTTATTACAACTTAAACAACTTAACTATAAAAGTTAATAATCATATTCACATATGTATATACACAGTGTGCAATTGACAAAAAATTGCATTTCTTTTTCGTTGTTAATCGACTTGGCATATATGTTTGTTTGGTGTTTTTTATATGATGTATAAAAAGAATCTTAAGTATTTTTAAGTTCTAATTTAATACCAATGCACGATAAAATCTTTGCCAAAAAAACAAGGTTCTGGCAAAAACAACTATTTTATGGTCGGACCAAAAAAATAGAAAATAGAAATAACCTACTATAAATGTTTATTCGTTTCACTTAAATTAACTTAATTTTATGAAAGATGATTTTTGGGGACCACCCAATTAAACAACTCCTCAGTGAACATGTAACACTCTGTTTCAGACCGTTTCCATGTCGGGATGGTGATCAAGGATTGCATATTAGCAGGCTTAGGATTCTCAAAAAAAGTTAGTTTTGGGCTCATTTGGAGGTGTATGATGTGTTGAATTAGGTGTTTAAATCCATAATTATATTTGGTATGTACTTGAATTAATTATAGCATACTCCTTTTGAGTTACCTTCACACCAGCAACTAGACAAGATGATTAATTGAGGAAGATGTTGAATTTATTATTTGAACTAATAAATTAGTACATAAAATGATTTATTAATGTGTTATGAAAATAATATATTAATTAGAAATCATGTTGTTTAATTAATATTTAATCAGAAATTAATTTTGGGATTTAAAGGAATTAATTAAAAGTTCAGAGGCTGTTTTGCAATTAATTAATAGTTACGGTTTGGGCTATTGGATTCCCCTTAATAGGGTTGGCCGAAATTCCTTGGAAGGTTCTAAGGATTTCATGCAAGGCCTTATGATAAGGTTAATCCATGAGTTGCTTAGGTCTTAAGCAAAGAGATTATGGTTTCCTTATCTTAACCCTAGCTTTGGGACTAAGCAATCCTGACTATAAAATGAGCATTACCCCTTTAGATTTCGACCATCCTAAGAAACCATAGAAGAGCCGAAACTTTAAGCAACTCCATCCTCTCTCCTCTCTCTCATAATCATCCTCTTGCTTTGGTGTGTTTGTGAGCCATTAGAGGTGTTACATTTGTGGCACTTGTTCTCAAAGGCAAGACTATCAAAGGATTCTATTGTTATTACTACATAACAATAAATGTATGTATTTAAACCCTAGTTTCATATTAATTTCGAAAATTGTACATGTCTCCTAGGGTTTCTAATTTTGTGTTCAATGCTTGTATGTCTAATAGAGAAAACATAGATCCAATAATTAGGGTTGCATGCACACATAAGATTGTATGCTATGTATAAAACCATTAGTGGTATCAAAGTTATTGTTTTTGTTTTCAATTAGATTTGATACAATTTATTGAATTTGACAAAAATTAGGATTTTTCGCAGTTAAACCCTAAGCCTTGGATTTTTCGCAAATTAGGGTCTCATAACCTTGTTTTTTCAAAAATTACAAAGGGTTTTTAAACTCTTTCATTTGGCCTCCATGTTTTCGAGATCTAAGGTTTCCTAACCCTAGGGTTTTCGAAAATTAGGCAAGGTTGAAAGCCTTTCCTTCCACCCCAAGTCATGGATTTCGAATTTAGGTTTTTTTTTTGGATGGGTTGTTATTTTGGTAATCATCTTGTTAATTTTTTAATTGGATAATTAAAGATTTTGTGATATATCTCCCATATTTTCAAAATTTAGGGGGTAGGAGATTAGGTTATTAATTTGTTTAATTTAATGGATAATCCTTATTTGATTTAATAAATTAATTAAATGTTCATCATCAAAGTTATTCCCAAAATCACAAAAACATAACATGAGGAGGTGCACAATCAAGCCTTTGGCTTCCCACGATCATTTGAGGTACCTGAAACATAACCCAAAACTGTAAGCCCAACACTTAGTGAGTTTCCCCAAAATACCACCACAACACATAATCATAGATATCACAAAAACAACATGCATACACAACCTTCAGCATGTCTGGGCCGCCGCACCGGGTCTTCAGTCTGTCTGGACTGTTCTACGGGACTTCGGCTTGACTGATCCGCTTCACAGGCCTTCAGTCTATCCAGACCGCCCTCGATTTGTTGGCCTTCTGCACACAGTAAGACCGCCTCAACCCAACCATCCACCACATATCTACATATAATATAACCAAACATAGTTATCATATACAAACAATCATACAAGTCTAACAGATCACTATAGCATAGCACATAATATATACCTTGATACCAATCTAACAGATCACTACAACATAACAAGCATACAATAACTAGGATAACAATCCAAAGGGCTAACTTTGGTGCCTTCGACCCCGAGAGTACTGTGAGGACAACTTACCTCATACAGACGAACCACACATAAAACCTCCGATTGCTGGCCCACAAAAATCCCGAACTATCATAACAAATAAACATCCAATTAATAGTTGGATTACCATCCCTGACTAATAACCCAAAATTAAGGTAAATGGCCACTTTACCCTATCCATAATTGGGCCAAGACCCAGGCCCAATTCTTGATCCAAAAAGTCCAAAGTTATACAGGGCCCATCTATAGCGCTCGGTTCTTGGTATACATTTTAAATATGAACTTTTGCATTTTACTCTGGGACTCGGCGAGTTGGAGGCCCCAACTCGTCGAGTTGAAGCGAATTTTGGACGCGGGTGGAAGGACCTACTCGCCGAGTCAGATGCCCCGACTCGAAGAGTAGGCCTGTCTGGATGAAACCGTAAATGTAAGGGTTTGCAACCTATTTAAACACCTTAACTAGCCTTCATTACAGCCTCCATCACCCCTTAACAACATTCATGAAACACTAGCCCATTTTGAGTGTGTTTGTGGTAATTTTGAAGCTAGAGAAGGAAGAGAAAGCTTGAAGGTTCTTGGGGAAGCAAGCAGATCCAGAGATTGTGCCACTTTTCTAGCTCATTTGAGATATAAAATCTATACCTTGCTTATTCCTTCCTTAGGTCCCTCCGTGGGGTACGTTAGGGTTTTATGGAGCATTTTATGGAAACATTCATGGGTGCAAGCTTGATTGGGAGCTATTACTTTGGATCCAGAGCCTTAAAGGGATCCGTGGCATAAAGGTACCAAATTTGTGGCCATGGGAGTCCCATGCATCATATAGACCTATTTTTAGGACCATTTGAGCCAAATACCCCATGCATGAATGTCAAGTTTGTAACTTTACGTATAATATGGACCCTAGGAGGTTAGATCTATGTTTTGAATGCATTAAGCCAGACTGAAGTCGACTGAATAGTTTTAGACATAGAGGGATATGGCGAGTCACTCATGTGAATCGGCAAGTCGGGTCGTAGTTTCCCCCAAAACTCGTCTGATAATGAGCAATTTTTTGAGTTGGAAGAAGACTCATCCAGTTGGGTTTGCTATGGACCTGAAGATCATGGAACTCGACAAGTTCAAGAACAAACTAGACGAGTTCAAGACTAAGTCCCAACTGCATGAAGAAGAACTCGACGAGTTCATAAGGAACTCAGTGAGTCCAGGACGAGACATGCCAACT